AGCTGACAAAAACAGCAGAAAGGTGGAAATGCAGGTTTTGGTTTTCTCTCTGTTATCTTTTGGCCGAGTTAAATAATTCTAAAAGAGCTGCCAGATAGCCAGTTTTAGTGGGCAGTAAAACATGTACAGGCGAACAGCAGTATCTTATAACCTTAGAAAGAGAGAACCCTGCTGACATAGATTTGCAGAACTTTTAATTAATAATACACCAAAAAAAAGTTTGTTCTCCATACTCTTGTGTATTGAACACAAGACAATTTCAACATCTTTACCAATAAAAGACACGAAACTCTGCACTAATAAGAATTACGTCTGAAAAGAGCAAAAAGCCTGGACTTTACCACAAAACCTTTGTATCAGCAAAAATAAGTTGAAAACAAAAAATTCATGCAGAGAACGAGACTTTGACCAAAGCAGCTCGTAATTAATCAATCAAATGCATGGTAAATTAATCACCACTTAAATCTTATCAAATCTACGTTGGTCCTTTCTTAACCTGCCCTGCAAATATCATCAAAACCCATAAATGTATTTTTTGCATAAGGCTGTCAACTAACAAATCATATTAGGCATTTACAGACCTCCTCGGGAGTTGTAAATAAAATTAAGCACAATCAAATCTTAAATCCAAATTCATGTCAATTGAAGAAAAAAGAGAATGACAATCAAACATTTCCATTGCCAAACTTAACAAAATTTGGCAATCTTTGTATTTGACATTGTGGCCCTACAATTTAACCTACTGTAATAAATTGTGAACGTAGAACTACCTGCTGCAGCCTCAGACATGCAATTAACATATGAATAACCCATGAGTTTCTAGTTACTCATATTTTACCTTGAGTTTTCTAAATAAAACATAAATCAAGGTAATATAGTTTACAACACAGCTAGTATAAAATATTAATAAATATTAATACTAAGTATAAAATATTGACAATGATTACCAATATTCAAGGTTATCTACGTAATATATATTTGTCTTTTTGGATTTATTGAGCAGTGGATAAAAATATTTCATAATTCTGTACAGTTAGATGTAAAATGTGAATGTAAGTTACATCTGCTGAATAATATATGCTATTATATTGCTCGCTTTGCTGAAAAATTTGCCCTCATTCATCTGAAAAATTACTCTTTCACCCAATATAAAAAAATAACAGAATGAAATGAAATGCTAAGTGGGTGAACTGAATTTAAGAATAAAAATATATATTAAAGCAATATAATCAGCCTACCAACTGGCTGTGGCACAAAATCTTATAGAAAAAAAAATTATATATATATATATATATATATATATATATATATATATATATATATATTCAAAAAATTCTAAAAATACACTTCTGGTTGTTACTTGCTGATAAGAACATGTTCTGCATGTGGTGAGCCATTGTGGTATGTGATTCAGCAATCACCCACTGGTCAAAGTGTTACTTGTTAGTAAGTGCCCCAAATCTCCCTCCAAGTGTTGCAGACGGGCAAAAGGTCAAGCTCCATCTCAAAATTTATCACAATAGGTACTTTATATAATAATTAATATAAGCAGATGAGGCAATAACAGGAAAAGAAAAAAAGTAAACAAAACATGACAATTTGAACCCATATTTTATTTTCAATATTTCTAAATAATGCACCACCTCAGAAAATCATTCTTAGAAAAAAGAACTTATCAGGGGCTAATCGGGGCATTAAAATAAAATCAACAATTCACAAACCATGCATGAACTGTTACTATGAAAAACTGTTTGAAACGCCCGTCAAATGGGTTTAGCCATGGATTCATATTGCTCATGGCTAACTGTGAGACATGCTATAGTTTAACCCATAGTGACCTTCTGCAAAACACCACAAATACAAAATTTTAATGTTATATGATGTGTGTAAAAAACTATCACAGAATTGATTTTAAACAATTCTAGACAGGCAAACAAAGTCTTAACCAACTAGCAGATTGTGAAGTTATTCAGGGGCGGATTTAGGGTGTCTTCTGGGTGATCCGGAAGACAGTCAGATTTTCATGTTTACATTGGCGGGTATCTAATATTTTCTGTCGGAATACGGTCAAAAAATGGAGGATGGATCAACAAAGATAATTTGGAAGACTGTCAGAAAATATCTTTGGATCCGCCCCTGTTATTTCACAGCATCATTTAAAGGTCTTCAATGATCTGGGGAGGTGGGGATGGGGGCAGGAGGTGGACGGTAAGAGGTGACATTCCAACAGTATGTAAACTTAACATTCACCACCAACAGCAACCACCTTCAGGTAATTCGCAATTTGATCAAAGGTCTTAAGTAAAAGACTGGCAAAAATCGGATATATAGGAGCCTTACAGCTCTGTGACATGCAATCTTGTCAGCTACTTTGATCTACATTTTGACAGGCTAAAAAATTGGCCCTAAGACCGACCTTGTTGAAAGTGAAACTATCAGCTTCCATCACCAGTATTTTACAGTATCTGCAGAGTTCTACTTAGACTGATAGTTTCATGGGAAATGAGCCCTTAGACTTTCTGTGAAACAATTAGGCCCAGACCCACTGTTTTAATTTCAACATACAAGTAGCATCTTTCTTTGCAATCTTTCTAACTGTAGTAATTCAATTTTTTTGGCTTACGAGGTTTAAAGTATATCACATGTATACATACCCACGCTGTTCCACTTTGTGGCAATTTTTAAGCAATCTTCACTCACAATGATCAATATCAAAATATTTGAATATATATATTTAACAGGTTTTGGAACTTAGCCAGCTGTTCCACTTTGTGGCAATTTTTAAGCAATCTTCACTCACAATGATCAATATCAAAATATTTGAATATATATATTTAACAGGTTTTGGAACTTAGCCAGAATTGTTATGATTAAATTAGTATTTTGACTCCAAAGTGATAGAGTCACATATTCATCAATATGCTGGTAGTTACTACTTTTTATATACCATGTGGTTTGAAAATTTGAAAAATGATTTTCCAATAGCTAGGCATATGTGCGCCAATTACAAACCAATTTGTTGCATGCAAATCACACTTACCACTTTTTGAATGTTTCAAGGCATGTTATTGAAAATTAATTCCTAAAATAAAGTTTTCAAAAGCAGAACTTTATTAATTGTTAAATACTTCTTATTAATTTTTATTTTATTGTCACCCAAATTAAAAGGTATCTTATCCAGGGTATATATTTTTTTTAATTTTGAAACTGAAAAAGATGCCAAGAACTTTTAGAACATCCTCTTACGAAAGCATTTTGGTTTGCTTTTGGACATACTATTTTTAGATAATATTTTTGGTTAATAAACAATAACTTGAAATATATGAAAATAATTACTTCAACTATCTCCAAACAAGGCTATCTCCACACTTGTAGACAACATGAAAGAACTTGTAAACATCCATCAATCTTGTGATTAACAGCATTTTTTTCTTTCAAACACCAATTTTCAATGTTACCATATTATCTGATAATATGATCTCTTAGTCACTTACACCCCATTTCCATAGATTAGATTGACCTACTTGAGATCGACCTAACTCCCTGGGGGTTCACGCTAAATAGCTGTCAGCCGGGCGGACAGGAAAGTTAATTACCCCATTACAGCTTGCAGTAGGCGGGACGGACATTTAAGCCGGATTATCTGAAAGTAATCTACTGAGACTCCCCGCAGGGTTATATCGATCTAAAATCTATGGGAATAGAGCCTTACAGTATAAAACCACTTACAAACAACTATCACCACGATAGTCCATCTATTCCCATCACTGACCATCTGTCCTGCTGACCACATTGCATGCCCACTACACAGGTGTCACTTGACCAAGCACCTGTATTCCAGACTACTGGGTAAAGAATCCACTAGAAAAACTACTAAATCATGACGGTCACCGTATTTACAAAGAGTTTGGGTGTGCTCCTATTTGAGCAAACAAGTATACTAGTACCAACAAGACACGGTGGACTTTTTTATGGGCTGTTCTACAAGACTTACCAACTCCATCGACCAGTACAATCATATTCCTTCAGAAAACCTGACACACCTCTTCAAAATTAATTAAAAACATAAGAGTGAATATGTGATCCAAATGATTTCTTTTTCTGTGTTTTATTTATTTATTTATTTATTTATTTTTATTTTTTGAGGGGGGGAGAGAGGGAAAAAGGAGGTATGAAAAGATGAAAACGATACTTAAAGGGGAGATTCATCAGAAGGGGTGGGGACACTTTTGTCGGATACTCTTGTCCTCACTGAAAACACCAGATCAAGAAAATACAAGACACTCATTTCTGGGTTTGTACTTTTAGACCATTCTTTCCATAAAGATTGTCACATGAATGACGAGTTATACCATGATATTCCACAGGTGGATATGCCAGTCCTAGTATTGAGTAAAATATGCTAGACTATTAACTGGGTATTAAATTTTAGAGAAATTAAGATCTGAAGTTATGTAGTAGTACATTGTCATATCCTCAAAATATAGCTACATAAAGGAATGAAAATAAGCAGTTCCACTCCTATTCTGATCTCTTTACTACAACCCACACACATTCATTATTTATGAGGAATGGTTACGTAGTATATACTTATAAGAAAAAGTGGTAGCACACCTAGTTGCATTAAATTACCTCTATTTGCATTAATAATTAGAAGGCCAAGGACCTCAAGGAACTGGAAGGACTATTATGTAATAAAGTAATTTTCATAGTTTTTTGGGATATATCTATGCATTAGATTTTGATAACAGACAAAATAGAATTAAAAAGACCATAACCTGTATAAACACTGAGCTTCAATGAATACTAAGTAGATTAAAACAAATGAACATGGTATAAAAATTATGTTATTTTATAAAAGATCAGAACACCGATAAGTAACCCAGATAGCAATGAGCGGTCGGGCCGACGTCGGCATTGGTCGGCACGGTCGCGGTCGGCAGTCGTTGTCGGGCCGACGTCGGGCCACTACTAGTGACCCGANCAAGAAGACGAAGATTTGTTAGCGTTGACAGATGTGTATTAATCCAACTAGATCTGCCTTTGGGTTGAATCAGCTTGTTTTGGGTATGTGACGTCAGTCCCCTGTGGCAATATGACGTCATATAGTGACGTCTTCAAGTCGGTCTTGCTATAGTTAGTTGTATATCATCTCCCAGCGATCGACAGGGAGTGCACTCGCTTGGGGATGGGGAACACCTAAATAGGTTGCTTTCAGCTGACATCGGTAAAGACCAGTGCCTTCTTCCGGGCTCTGGTCAATGTTGAATGAGTTACAACGAAGATTGCTCAGACACTCATGAGCGCAGTGTTCCTTGTCGTGTGTGGTCAGATTGGCCAATATTTCAGCTATAGGGTCACAAAATGGATGCTTGCGAAAGAATGCTTTTCTCCGTGTCTCTGAAACATTTGAAACATATAAAGTATTATGCTTCCAGAAGGTTGTCCTCAACCTATTTGATGTTGTTGTACACAGATGTGCGGTGTGTAGGTTGATATTGTGATATTTGAGTAACCCCAAAATATCAGAGACACCAGTAAATGTCAATTCTGTCATAATTACGAAAACGTCAGCTCACGCTTCTGTATCTAGACTACGTGCTACGTGACGGGTAAAAGGCAAAAATATTTCACGTAATTATAAAGAAACTATATACTTAACAACAGTTTCAAGATTTAATCAACGAACATTTCATAATCATATCATTTTATAAGAAATAACTGCAAAATAATTCGACGTGTGAAATGCTTGCAAGATTGTAAATTAATTTTTTAAAGTCATTATCCTCTCTTTTTGCCTCATACTTGCCTCAAGAAAACGTTTTCAAGGCCCTTTTGCAAAGGCTAGACTAGTTTTAGTAGGTCACTTTATCAGAAGACCACTGTGGAAACCACTGTGAACAAAACATTGTCGTCTATTTTACCTTTAAGTTTGGAGCCATCAAAATTTTCGGGCACAACACTGAAACCATTTTTCTTTCACTTTTAAGGCCAAGTTTCATCTGTACAGCCAAGGTGATTAAATTAATGAACACAAACATCCTGAAGGGGCCTACGACGAAGCGAAACTTCTTGAGTGACTGGGGGCGGTGACAGGATCAGCATTTGGAGTGGAATTCACGTTGGAGCCAAAAACACCGGAGGTAGTCATCGATGAAAACCTGAACCATGTCAAATTCAGGAATATTTTGGAAACCGACTGCTTACCAATTGTAAGAGGGAACTTATTTTACAAACATGAAAATCCCACCCTGAGCTTCAGAGATAACTTGACACTAACCTCTTCAGTATAGCCTAGTTTTCATTTGTCAGACAAATAGGAAAAAAATAGAAGAAAATGATTTCGAAAAATAATGCACATTAAATGTCAAGTTTTCTATGTTTTTAAACAATCTAAGGAGTATAGATGGTACAGGCATAAAGACGGCTGAAACATGTTGTGTCGCACCGCTAATTAAAGATACCAGTTTGTTTATTTACTCACGATTTGACGGGGTGATATCCCATTCTGCGGACCCATTTACTCCTGCTCTCACTTCTAAAACTTTTACGTCACTTGTGGCAGCATGGTCTATGCTGTGCATCAGGATTGTTTCCTTTCCGATATCTCGACCAGCTCCTAACTGGATGTAACCTTTATCCCAACTAATCCAAAACGCCCTAAATGATCCGCAGTCAAGAATATTTGGCGTGTTTTGTGATATGGGGTCACTGGGATAGCCAATGTATAGGTCAGTGACATCATTGCGAAGTATCCACGAGTATGTGAGCACACATTCGAAATAGATGTTGACGCCACACAGATAAAGTGCAATAGCCTCACATGTTTTCACGTCGAATGTAAACGAAGTTACACTGGTTAAATCCGCTATTCCAATGTCATAATAATCGGATTTCGAAGTAAATTTTATGGTCAAAACTGGAAATAGAAGCAAAATAGTTTAAATATATTTGGTTGTATTACTGTCTTCAAATAACAGTGACCTGAAATCAGAAAGAAGTAAACTGTTAACTGTCTTTTTATTGATTAGTAATTGAATAAACTAGCTGATACCCGTCACATCAATCATTGAATCATAAATAGGCCTAACATATAATAATAATAATAATAATAATAATAATAATAATAACTAGTCGTAATATAGTCGTAACTTCCATCTGTAATTTCTTAGTATACTAATACATACATACATACATACATACATACATACCTCTTGGTAAACATAAAGCGATCAACATTGCTTTCAAACAAAGCATCTCCTGTATAGACCGTATGGTAATTCCGCGTCAAGTGAAATTCTACAAACGAACAATTAGTGTGCTCGTGATGAACAAACGCTCAAAATGAATTGAATGAAAGATTCTATGTGCCTATTATAGCTTCATTTAAGCCAATGTTATAAATTCTGAGAGGCTGCTTGGACGGCTGCGGATAGTACAGTGTATCCCTATGTCAACTTTAATAGCACTTTATTCATTTTTCATGCTGGAAATTTATAACCACATATAATTCTAGCTTTACGTACTAATCATGTCCATTTCTATTGATTTTCCCCATAGATTATTAATATGACATGCTGCAGATAACCGATAAACAACATTCTCTCCATTAAGGATATTGTCACCCTTCGCCCAAAACTTCTTATTTACTGCCTTACATGCATTCCCTTGGGTAATAGATAAACCTCCGCTGTTCATTGACTAAATTAATTAACATTTGCACATATGTCATCTTTCGGGTGACGTTTGCGATTATGGGGTAAAAACTGAAAAAGCGGCGTCTCAACTTACACCACTGCCTGAGTACCCACGATCACCGTTTCAACGCCTATTTAATAACACCATTTAGTACTCCAAAACCCTGCCAGCAATTTTCCTTAGAAGTCTTACAAGGGCGGATCCAGGATTATTTGAAGAGGGGGTCCAGAACGATAGGCCTTGGATTCGAAGCCGACCATCGCTCCCTTGGCGTGGGGTTCGGGGCCTGCTTAAGGGCCCCGAAATTTTATTTGGGGTTTTGGAGGGAAAACGGTGCCCTTTGGTACGGTTTTGAACTATATGTTTCAGCTAGTCAAAATTCTAATTTCAAGAGGGAATATATTTCTCAAATTTTTCAGAAACCGAAGGGGGGGGGGGGTCAGTACCCCCCTGACCCCCCCTCTAAATCCGCCACTGATGAAACGATGTCTTTTGTTATTCCTCTAAGTTATATTATTCGAAACTATATGGTGGCATTTGGCCGGCTTTTGGTCATGGTGTTGATCTTTCTCACCATAAGTTATGTCTTTCTCTTTAATGAGCTTGCGTATTTTCTTATTGCACTGTACTGTTTTACTTATTTTGTGGGAAAACATATTTCTGCACAAAAGTAATGTACCGGTAGCTTGTTACTGCTACAGTGAGGTTATATATGTCCGTGTAATTTTTGAAAATATCCCGTTATTGTTAAATGTTATTCACGTTGCTTGAAAACCTTCATTGTTTTTATTTTGGTTTAGTCTCTTTGAAAGTTTGCTTGTAAGTTGGCATTAGTAAAACTGAACAGTGATCAGTGTTTTCAAAGGGCGATCATTTCAGTGCTTTGTACGCCCCCTTAATAGCACAATACAGTGATGCAATGTATTTTTGCCTCTAGTCAAAATTTGATAAATTGACGGTAGGAAATGACTTTTCATGTTGGCCGTATTAAAATCTCCAAGAACAATGATAAGTGAGTCGGGGTCAGAGGTAAGGCAATTTAAGCTATTATTTTTTTGTGCCTACATGTAATTGGGCTCACTTGCTCCAATAGTTAGAATACATGTGTATTTACAGTGCTCAGAAAGAGTAGACGGGTATTCATAATTATTTGAACGTCCGAAGAAAGCTAAGAGTATTTTGCTTTCATATTATTTTGGCGACAGATTTTAGAGTTCTGACATGATGCACCGATATTCAACCACTATGTGGACTTCTAAGAGTGTCAGATATGTAGCCCTGTCAACCCTCTTGATTGGTTCTATGTTGCGGATTCTTTGGATAAATCATAGTACGCGTAAGTCTTCTTTAGTGAACTTCATCGGTGTCAAGGAAGCCAGTCAACAAAACCCGTTAAGAGCGCCTCCTAGGATTGGTACCGAGTACTTGCCAGAGTCCGTAGAGTTCACATTGGAGCTTAGGTACGCAGTTGTGCGACCGAGGAATAACAGTCTGACAACTGAGAAGCGATTTGTGTATCTCATTGGGGGCCGAACAAAGGGGATCATCGAAGGCTTAGAAGAAACGAAAGAACGCGACGTCATTTGGATGACGTTTGCAGATAGGTCGGGAGAAATATACGCCCCGAATACATCGGCTGGTTCCGGTAGAAGTGCGCTTCTTCAGCACGCGGTTAATTTAGCGGCCAAAATGAAAGACGGCGGTTATGTCTACTATATATTCATGGACGACGACCTGGACCTATCGCTTCGATCTGATGGACAGGTCAATTGGAAACCTTGGTCCAATATGGCTGCAAATCCTTTTCAGCGGTTCGAGGAGTTTCTTATGTATTACCAACCTGCTGTGGGTTACGTGCGTTACCAAGACATGGTTAGACAATTTGTCAATAAAAACCAACCCGTAAACTTGAACTGGGATTTTGATGAGTGTTTCAACGGATTCCACAGGGGTACGCTGTCATTTCTCATACCATATGATATGCACCTAGACTATGAGTCGTGGTTTAATGGTGCCTGGATGACTCGTCAGTTGATTTCGATGTTGTATCATGGTTATTGCCTTCAGTGCAACTCCCTGCACGTCACAAATAGTATAACACAACTGTTTCGCGTTCGACGGGAAGATACAAGGCTTATTTTGATTACGAAATACCGCGGAACTACATCTTGTCAGCTTTGCTGGCGGAAATTAAAGCCAGTCCAGCCAAAGCCAACCCCTTAATCGAGGCTGTTTTGAAAGGAACGTCTTCGCGTCAAAGTCCAGGAACTCTGCAACCAGGTCCAAACGTCAAAATTCCGGGGGAACCAAAACGAAAAGGCAATCATTCGTACCTTGTGACACCAGACTTTATCCTTCAATATTGGGACCATACCCATCCCATGATTCAAAAGAAATTAACTTGGCTGCAAAAATCCGAAATACGGAAAATCCTAGGGTTAGATAACCGTCGTCTTCAAACTTTCCAACCCGGCACTTTGTGCTGTGTCACACCAAATAAATTCTCACTGTCTATTGGACAATGACACTGTTTAATAACTTGATTTTCAAACGCATCTCAGCATTATAGGATGATTATGAAAATTTCTTTCATGTTCAAAATTTCAGTCCTATTTTTCTTTCATGTTGTGTTACGAAATAATTTGTTGTTGGTCCATCTCAAGAGATACGTTCTTTGAATGAAACTGAGTAAACATCTTTGATGACAATAAAAGGGCCATTTACTGTTTTGATTCAATCTTTTCTTTGTACCCGCACGAAAATGAAGTAGATACTCCAGCGCAGTAGACTACTGCAATCATACTGCAAACATGCTTCAAATCTGCTTCGATGTGGGAGCTAATTAGCATATTTGAAACATGCTTCTATCATGCTGCTAATCTACTGCATTTATGCTCCTCCTCTGTACAACCCTATGTAATTTTTGAAGTAGAATTGCAGTAGGCTATACTGCATTTCTACTGCAAATATGCTCCACACCACTACTGCGTTGATGCTTCTTTGCTACTTCGATACTACTGCATTTTCTTGCGGGGTAGGCCTATAACATGATTGTGTGATGTTGATCCATCCATCAACAAAAAGTCTTGTTGTATTTCAAGGTAATATTCATACCCTACTTGTTCTAATACGGATTCCAGTTAAATATTTTAGTGACGTAAAGGCGCTCTTTATTTATTCAACGGGTCTTCTTAATAAATATTTAGTTGATCGATAAAAATGCATATAAAACTAAATTTATTAATTCGAAAAAAAAA